TATATATATATATATATATATATATATAATTGAAAACGTCAATTCTGAGCCTTTCGGAAGGTGATTTTACAGGGAAACAAGCCGAGAAACAGTTTGTTAGCCTCAATGTAGGTACAGAATAAATCAGATTTTGTAGGGTATAAAGTGGAACTCGAAGATGGGAAAGGATGAGGATATCAGGCGCAACGAATATGTGAAAGAATTCGTTCCAGATCATGAAGTGCATAATACTCTAATAACTTTCCTGTCTGAAGTCGAATTTGGGAAGATAGTTTCTTGTTTGCTCAACTGGAAGACAACGGGCCTTGATGGAATCTACAACTTCATCACTAAGAAGTGCACCTCCTTACATCCAGATTAGCACAAAATAACTTGGTGGATTTGCTTGGAAGGAGAGGAGCAAAACCCATAGTTACACATTTTCGTACGTGATGACTTGAGATGGGATAGTGACGAATTTCCATAAACGATGCGCGGAGAAAATCATTGTATCTAATCACGTCACGGCATAATTCAATTCCATAGTGCCCAAGAAAACGCTGAAAAACATCTCATTTGATCAGCAACAGTGATTCAACGAAGACGAAGCAGCGGAAATGAGCATAGCAGAACTAAGCGCAATGGAGTACAGCAAGAATGTCAGAATGCCCAACACTAGAATTAATAATTAAGAAAATAATTTCCATCTGATATCGGTCTTACGATATATATACGTATGACAAATCAATCCTGACAAAGTGCACAGACTAAGCTTTCCAATGAAATCTATGCAATTTTTAAATGTTTGCAGCACCTAAAAAAGTACACCTCCCCTACCTGAATAATGTGAAGAATTTACATGATTCAAGAATTGCCAGTCCCTTGACATAACAAGTCAATATCAGTCTTGCGATAGTCTGGAAAACTGTTACACAAATTATCCAAAACAACGAATGTCCACAGGATAATTTGAAATGTGAAGTATGCATGATGTCCGATTCTGATCTCCAACCTAATCTTACCATTATTTCAATCTTGCAGTCTAGTGTATGTGATCCATTCTTGGTGTTATCAGTAAATTAATAAATGTCGAAACTAAGAACTCCAAAAGACAAGAAAATCTTCATTAAAATCTCAGAATTATAACACTTAACACACTCTTCCCATCAAACACACCAACAATTTAAATTCTAAGGCGAAGCATTCCTTCATTAAATGTTCACCATAACAAGATCATACAACTTATTTGGAACTGACCTGTTATAACATCAAAATCAGCAATTCAAAACCATCACTCAAAACAAGAATTCCAAAACCGAACCTGAAGCTCACTTTTAAACATACAATGAGCATTATACAAATCTCTTGAGAAATATCATAACACTTTTTATCACTGAAGCGCATAATGACCATCACGAAGATATGACATCAAATTTTCAAAATTGAAGAACTTCACAATTAAATGATCAAATGATTGCATAGCCCAGTCCGCGAAAAGTCGTTCTAATCGCCGTTTCGATAAAAACAATGGTTTGCCTCGTCTGGAACAAATTTAGCGTCTTTGCAAGTAATCTTATGATCTTATGATTGAAAATCCTGCAAACCAAAAAATTAGAAATACAGAATCAAATTAGGTGTACCTCAAATTGCGATCTTCTTCACCATGTGCGTCCAAGTATACTGAACCCCACAGAGCTGCCTTTCGGTTACTAACTATTGCAATTAATGTGGTATTGAGCGACAGAAAGCATCCCACACCACCACAGCACACATATGTGTGCTGGAATGTTTAAATTTTATTTGCAGTAACGTGATTAACAAAAACTTCAATGATAACAACAAGATATTAAAGAAAATCAAAAAAGTTTCAAAGCTAAGAAAAGCCAGCCAAAATGTAGAAAAATAATTGCTTTTTGCTTCTGTATTTTTTAAAAATATGAAGCTCAAACCCGTTCAACTTCATTAGAAAGGACGACTTCATTGTATGGTAATGTGCAACAGTTATCTAAACATAATAAAAGCCCGCAGAGAAGACATATAAAGGGCATTCGAGGGACCTTCTGACATGTTACACATGTGCGTCCAAAAAACCGAGTGAATAAATCATCATAATTTCCAGGCAATTGAAGAAGAATAAACCTATGCCAAGACAATGGTTCTTCGCATAAATTCTACAAAAAAATTATTACGAATAATACAGTGCCCAGCAAAAAATTAAATACGAAGTCTCAATTATCAAGCAACACAACACAACAATATCTTTGTCATGTTATCCCGGTTAGTTGTTGCCATAAAAAGTACAGGAACTTAAATACTTGAAGCGTGCATTAAGAATTATGGTCATAAAAAATCATACCACTAGGAAATCTAAACGATTCATCGACTGAAACACTGTTCCAACCCATCTATTTATATGATCTATTGGTAGTAACTCTAGGGACAGCTCATTACAATCTGAAAGACACAGGTAAAAAAGTACATGAAAGATTTCCAAGCACTGAATTTTTAGAAGATAGAACACTTTTGAGAAGGAATGTATTTTCACATATACAAGCAAATTATACCTTTGATGAGAGCATATTTGACAGATCTTTTTCATCATGTCCAAACATTACAGACCATCAATTAAATGATGACTTATCCTCATAAAATACCACATCAAAAATAACCTGTTAGTGAGCGGTAAATTTCCATATACGTTGCATTAGTCATAGAATAGTCTTTAGGGTACTTCTGAATACCACATTCATGCCACAACTGTGCAGTAAGACGTGATAAATCTGTACACGCAAACTGCAGAGCTTTCTCGAAATCCACAAAAGTCTAGATAGTTTTACTATGATAAAACACTCCAAATAAAATCTTAAATGCCCCAAAATTGCTTCCATCAAAAGCTCATTTATTATGGAAAATATTAAAGATTCAAGTACTTACGGCATTTGATATAAAAATATCTTCCAATTCCATGCAGGAATAAGAGAGAATCTTATTCACGACATTTTGCACAGCAAACGTAAATACCTGTAAGATATTCAACGCAAGTAATCTTTTACAATACATTAATTTGGATGTATCGCTCTTATAAATTGACCTCCCTGACTTTTTTTCAAAAAGTTTTAAATTTTGTCTGATTGAGAAATAATTACCTCATTACTTAGCGAAAGATCTTTTAATTCCTTCAGCTGTGATTTTCGCATATGAATAGCAGCTACAATTGCTGTACGAACGATCGATGCGTAAAAAGTCGCTTGAAATACAAAGGAGAGCAGACCTAACAAAAACCAAAAGTCATGAAGTGAAGTTAGCTTTAATAAATTTTTAATACGAAAAATAAATTGTTAAAGGTCGCAAAAATGACATAAAACCAACAATGATTCAAAAATAGTGATCGACTAAAAACAAGGACTGTTCCTGCCTCGCAAATCGATAATATCAGTTTCCAGTAACACTCAAAACCACTGCTAACAAAGCAGCGACCAAAACAGCCGAAATCCCAGATAACAAACCTTTTCTATCTTCACTGGTTAAAGAATCATCAGTAACAATGTAAGCACTGATGCGAACGAGAGTAGTCTTTAGATCAAAAACCACCAATGGAATTTCGTCCTCCAATTTATTATCATTTTCCATATGCATTTTCGCTATCTTTGCTTCAATTATAGACTGAAACTAGCCATCATTTAATCCTGTGAACAGTGAAAACCTACCACGTTTTTTCGTAAAATCAGAAAGCCCAACTTTAAATTAAAATCATCACACTGATACTACCTGGAAATAGTTCATACACATATTTCTGATATATCACTATAATCATTAATACTATTTAAATAGCATACAGAATCTGAAATCTCAGATTCCTGGGACGTTGACTGCTGCCAAATTTCTTGAATACGGCTGCAGTCCACTCCCATATTGCCGTAATTTTTACTGAACCCGAAAGTTATATGTTTCCACTGATAAGCTATGAAATCAATATCGCGTCTGGTGCCCTGATAACGCACCCCATGGATCAGATGTTCTATAATAAAAAAAGAAACAAATTACTGCTTTTTAGACAATGAACTATTGTATATTGGGACACTATTGATGACTAGTATGAATCACAACTGATCGTCATATACAAGGACTTTTTAAATTGATGAAACACCTATTTTTTCTTATTACGAAATAGGGTATATTTTTTGCTTGGAGTGTAGTGAGATTGTTATTTAGATCAGTGAGTGTACAATAATAATTAATGATGCATTAAAACAATTGACCCAATAATTCCCAACGCGGGAAAACTAATTACAATGGTCAAACATTCATCATTACTTGAGTTCCCTGCTTCTCAAACCAACTAAACAGAGAACAAAGTGTTCTGCAAAACGACCTACAATGAAGTTTGAAAGAATTTTCATAATCCTTAAAATATGCACACCTGTAAGTAGCTCACGATTGCTGCGGTCGTACAAATCTAACTCTGATAACAAAATATTGCGTTCAATGTTATTTCTGCAATATTTACAGTGTTATTTTAAATGAATAATAATAGCCAAATCATTGTAACCAAAATTCAACCAAAACGATTTTATTACTGATGAAGAGATTACTTAGCAAGTTCTAGAGCGAACATCTGCAAATTTTTAGGTGTGCTAGCATTAATTTCTCGATAACTTGTCCATTCGTCACATACTGTCAAGAAAGCCACAAATAAATCTTCATATAATGTGAATTTCTCGCTCTCATTATCCTACAACAACCAAAATATTTAAGTCAAATCCTTAAGGAATGGTTACAGCGATTCTCTCACTGTAACCACTGTAACTGATTTTAGTTGTTCGAAATTTATATCAGACCATCCTAAAAAAACCAAACAGAGGATATTAAGTGGCATACAACAGTACAAATGTGCATATTAGTGAGTGTGAAATCTAGCAAATGAAAAAAAAAACTTGACCCAGCGAAGCAAATACTAAGCAGTAAAAGATTAAGTAAAGGAAAAAAAATCAAATAATGAAAATCGATTTGCCTGAATACAAGGTCTATTGTTGATAAGCCTTATAATTTCTTCACTTAGCTCAGCATAATTTTTTTTCTGGTTGGATATACTAGATCTGTAATGAGATTTAAATATCATTGCAAATATTTGAAAAGCATTACAAAAAAGGCTCAGACTACGAAAGTTTAATAAACCTACTTAATTCTATCAGTGCCCATATCCAAAGATACAGGCAATAAAGTATGGACTGTGGCACGGCACACAGGGCATGAAATCTCAATTTGCACTCGCAATGGATCAGATGTCGGTGACGAATCCTCCTAAAATGATTTCTTCCATTGCACTTAAACTATAATCACCATCAGAAATTCATACCAAGTCGAACTAACCAGCAATGTACGGATGTAAGTTTTATAGCATTCAACATGTGCGTAATGACCGCAAGTACGGACTTCAATACCAGCAGGAGCTTCAACAAGGTCAAGATCTTTTGCGAACAGCTACAACAAACATAGTACAATGAATAAATTAATTACTCACAAACATTTACCAGAATCAAAAAAGTTCCTACCGTTTCTATAAGAGATCGACGATATGAATTAAAAGCTTTCAACATCAAGGGATTAAGACGTATATCTTTCTCATCAACTTCCAGAACTGAGAGAGACAAGCAATCAATGGATAACGAATGCTCTAGCACTACAAAAAAATGCACAAATGATTCATCAAAAAAATTAATCAACTACATTTCACAAATAAACTCATTTAAGCCATAAATGAAACAATGTAATATAGAAACAAATAGTAACTGAAACAACAGAGAACACAGAAGCATTATCGAAGTTAGACCACATCTAGAAGCGCAAAAAAAGTTGCTGGCCATAAAGTTTTCAGAAAAGTCAAACTTTCTCAAACAACGCTTGACTAAAAATATAATTTATGAAACTACTTAAAAACAGAAAAAACGCTTGACTAAAAATATAATTTATGAAACTACTTAAAAACAGAAGATTAGCGTTATAAATCTATCGGAAAATAATCGCAGATAAAACACCAACTAAATGTTACAATTAAATAAAATACCAACCGTAATTGATCAGAAAACTACACATCATTCCCACTGGATGATCTAAAGTGCATGCTGTTGTATCGTTGCAAATGGAACATCCATAACGTCTGACAGACGAGTTCTGAAAAAATGAAAGAAACTTTTCTCATACGATTTAATAGACGAAAAATTAGTGTTTTATTTCTGAAATGTTTAATCTTCTCTAGATGATTAAGTAGCATCAAATACATTAACTGCATTGTTAGAAAAATATTTAATATCCTTTTTCAAATAAATCGTTCACCTTACAAATGATATGAATAACTATTAACAGTCAAGAAAGACAGGGAACACAGTTTTTATATGTTGATAATGAAAAGCTTCAAATAAAACCTCTGCAGTTTCCATTGCATCCATTTCAGTTTGAGTCATTCCTTCTATTTCCATCATTTTTTTCATTAGCAATGCGTTTTTTTTCTGATGGGCAGCCAGCAAAATCTAAATGCACAAAACATGACAAAACTATTTACATCTGAAAAATTTGATTACACAATATGTAGCTTAATATGAAAAAAAACTTGAAATATTCCTAGAATTTAAAGCAAATCAAGATATGAATATGCACTGCCTTGAATACAAAACTGTTTTATTCAAGGGTTTACTTCCTGACGACGTTTGGCAGCCAGCCGACGAGCGGAATTAATTGGAGACGTATCATGACCTTTATTACATTCGTCTCTTTTTGATTGTCGCATTCGATAGTCAACGATAAATTTATCCAAAAATTTGCGTACTTCATCGCAGCTAGAAGAATGATTTGTAGATCATAGCAATAAGTAACGACAATGAAATTAGATATCTGTAAGATGAATTTCAATTCCTGAATAATATAACTCTATCATACATCAAGAAGTGGATGAATTTGAAATACCTGTGATAAAGAAGGCAGAAAAGACGCCCAATATAGTCAATAGCATAACCTGAGACAGAATCCAATTCCTGAGCATCCATATTTATTTTTTTATAAAGTGCCTCTGCTAATAAGCGATCGCTTTCTCTAGTAATGGCTTTCTCGTCATTCAACTGCCGCATATAATTAAGCAAAAGCATGATTATGGGTGACATTTTCCTAAAAAAAAATTCTTCCTGTTTGACATGAGTTCATCATCTCAAAAAATGTTACTAGAAGTATGATTTCACACAATCGTCAAGTTTTAAATTCAATAAAATGAAAAATATAACAAAAAATAAACATATTGACGTAGAATAAAAAGACTCATTTGATGTCAAAATAAAAAGCTGGATTGTGCACCTCTCCTTCGTTATAACAATTTTTGTGAATGATGATGCGAGCATATCAGAAACAGTGCTTCCTTTACTCATCATTTCCTTTATCGATAATGGTACATTCGTTAACGCATCCATCACAATATTTGGAAACTGTCTGGACGTTACAAACTTGACAAATAACGTCAGTAAATAAACAGTTGCTTGAAAAATTGACTCGTTCAGCTCTTGACAATCAACATACTAGAAAACATTGACCAAAAATGAATAAAACTACATAATAACTTTAAAACTCTGTCAGAGCTAAGATTACTGGGACACTGAACTTCGTGAACAATAAACACTGTTCAGTGATTAATAATTTCTCACTTCACCAATGCTGCTTTAAAATGGATCTTCTTCGTGAAAATTTGTTTTGCCGAAAAAAATCAGTAGGAAGCTTTACGAAAATATAATAAAATTACTTACGATATAAACAATCTTGTGCACTAAAATAAGGAATGACGGAGTTATTAAGAACCGTGCACTGCGTGCCGCCCAAATGTCATCGAAGGCAGGTAGACGATATGGAAGCCACAAACGATCGCAGGAGCGTGCCACTGGTGACTGTTTCAGTAAATTATGCTCGCTAGAAAAATATGCAATTTTTTGGCCGAACAAATAACATTTCGATTTAAGAATACTTGTAAAATCAGAAAAAAAATTCAAAAGCAAATTTAACATCTTTTCGTAACGCAGAAGTGCATCATTATATTCACGAGTAGAAGTTGAACGCATTCTACAGAATACGGGATCAAACATTGTCCGCCAAGATTCTGTAGTTAACGTATACACTCCTTGTTCGATCTGGCTTCTCTGATCCGGTTCGCAATATGTAGTCAACTTAAATAATCAAAAATAGTTACAAAATCGGCCAAAGCTTAATATGAAATTTATAAATTTGTTTGGACTATGCTCAGAGTATATATATATATATTGTTTTCATTTATTATTCCAGATTCGGACTTTTCCTTTTAGCCTCAATTTAATATTTTATTTGTTCGGCCAATATATTAAATTGAGGCTAAAAGGAAAAAGTCCGAATCTGGAATAATAAATGAAAACAATGCAAAAACAGATGCGATTGGGAAAAGCTAAGTGAAGGGCGTAAAAGAACATACTACCAGTGTACCGCAATCCGGTGCCAACAGAATGATTACGCTTGAAACAATCGTCCGTGGAACTGAAATCTCACGAACCAAGTGGCCAGTAACAGTGCTTAAAACTGTCCTTGACCGATTTGGAAGAATGCCTAGAAGGGGTCGGCCATTGTGTCGTTCTTTGTATAACGAGAAGTTTGCGTGTGCTATTTTTGAAGAACTGAAGAAGCAAGCAAATTCTGTGATAACCAATATTGCAGGTCGTCCATGCTCACAGAAACGGTTCTTGGAGGAATCCACGAAACGTACCAATTTACAAAATACGCACTTCGAGGAGAATACGCTACACGAGTCTAAGGTTTATCTAGACGTAACACAGAAGTACCTTGTAATAATGCAAGAAGCACAAGGATGTGAGATAGACCAGACAAAGTGGACGCGGAAAATAACACCGATGAGCGCGGACCTGCTTATACTTGGAGCAGTAAACCAAGCGACGATTGAGTATGCTAAACAGAATCCTCTCAAATCAATGACCGATGTTGCAAGGCAGTTCCAGGTGGCACAATAATGCTACAAAGAAGTGACAAAGCGAGAGAAGAAGCCACCGGCATGGAAGGCAAGCGCAGAAAATAAGGAAAGCTTGTTGAATTTTCACAAAACCCTCATAGAACAGACCTTGGAAATTGAAAAACTAGGAAGTAAGGACTTAAAAGAGGCCAAAAAGTGTATGAGGGAGATGAATCTCATACTTGCTCTTAAGCGAGACTGTCATGAAGAGTTAAGTATATTGGCAGACCATGTGGGGGTTTACAAAAGTAAAATTAAAAGTTATGAAATCCAAAATGCCAGATTCGAGGTCTTTAGAAGACGGTTCTACAGAGATCTGATAGAAGAACAGACAGTTAGCCAGAACGTAAAGACAAAGGAAATCAGGGATTTTTGGGGTACGATGTGGAACTACGAGTTGGGAAAGAATGATGACATTCGGGACAACGAATATTTGGAAAAATTCGTTCCAGATTGCGAAGCGCACGACACCTCTAGAGTCCAATCGAGAATACAGTTTTCTATTTGCTTAACTGGAAAGCGGCAGGGCTTGATGGAGTTTATAAT